GGGTGAGCTTGGGGACCAAGCCAAGTGGGCAGCAACCGGAGGGGAAGACTCTCTTCTTTTTCTGCAGGGCCCAAGTCTTCCCCTCCACTTCTCCCATCTGATCTTCTCAGCATGCTCCCCCATACAGCACCCACAAACGCCTCCACCCAAATGCACACCCAGGCCTGCCTCTGTTATCTTTATGTGATCCAGGTCTCCAATGGGTGTGTCAGCAAGATTCTCACTCGCTACTATAAGGTGGGCATTGTCCATCCAAAGGCAATGGGAGGCCGCAGCCCACGGATCTCCACCCCTCAGCTGGTTGCCCGGATTGCTCAGCTGAAGCAGGAGCAGCCATCTCTCTTCGCCTGGGAGATCAGGGAAAAGCTGGAGGCAGGAGGCATCTGCGCTGCAGGCAGGACGCCCAGTGTGAGTTGCCAGGGTGTGCCTTGCTAGCACAGTGGCAGTGTGTGTGTGCAGGCCCACCTGTGAGTAGGCACATGCACGCTTGTGTGTACGTGGAGCGAGAAAAAGAGGGTGAGGTCTGAACCTTGCTCCCTTTTACTCCCCAAGAAACAGTTGCTTTATATCCTTCAGGACACGGGGACCCTCCTCTCCTTCCTCATCCCACATCCTCCTGAACCCAACATTGCTCCTGTGTGACAACTACTTTTGCCAGCTTTGGCTGATGTGCCACTTGCTTCCCCCGTCTCGCTCTCTCTCGTCCTCCGTATATACCATTCAAGAGGGAGCCAACTCCTCCGGTTCCAGTCTTTTCTTACAGTCTGGGACAAGTTTATCGTTTCGTAAGGAAAAGGGACTGGTTCGCGCACACATGGGGCACACGCGGGGAGGGTCAGCTGCTCTGCCAGTGCCTGCCTGGCAGCCACCCATCCTTAAGGAACTCAGGGCTCCCAGGCTTGGCTAAGCACCGAGGATTTGGGGACCAAAGCCACTGTGGTTACGGCCAGGGACGTGAGCAGGGTGATGCAGAGCAACAAAAAGCCTTTGGGGCAGAGCTCTCTCCCTGGAGAAGGAACAGCCAACATTTTTCTGCCAGAGGCTTGTAAACCCTTAAGAGAAATGTGTTCTTAATCAGTTCAGTTAAAGCTGGGTGTGGCCATTCCCCCCCCCCCCCCCCCCCAACCG